GAGAGAGAGAGAGAGAGAGACAGACAGACAGACAGACAGACAGACAGACAGAGACAGAGACAGAGACAGACAGACAGAGACAGACAGACAGAGACAGACACAGACACAGACACAAGACAGCGAATGTACATAACCTCAAAATTTACCGTAGTTTTTTATTCTGAATTGTAAAATGTGGTGCTGAGCCCTGGGTGGGAGGAAGGGAAGTCAGATGTGCCCCTCAGAGAGAGAGGTGAATATGACATGGCTGGAAGAGAAAATGGAAGTCAAGGCCAGGAAATACTGATATTCTTATGGCTGTAAACATCCTGCTTTGCCAACAGGAATAGAATGGTCTGCCCAGCCCAAAGCAGTGGGCAGAAGTCAGCATCAGGAACAGCTAGCAAAATTATCTTCACACAGATCAGTCCCCTCCCTCCTCTAGTGGTCCTGCAGAGAGGCGGGTGTGTCCAGTCTCTGCTCCCTGCCAGCCTGCTTCGAGCTTCCCTCTGTAGGCCAGGCTCACACAATGGCAGGAAATGGCTGCAGTGTTGATGTGGAGAAAAGGGGGGTTGGAGAAGAAGCTGATGTTTGGTTGAATTCCTACTATCCCGAGGTCAGAAATTCCAAGAAGACAGTGGGCATCCATGCTGGCGTATTTTATGATCTGGCTTCTTCAAGGACGTTACCTCCTTTTCTGCCTGGCAACCGTGAAGCCAGTTGCGGTTCAGAGAATGTGGATCTCAGCCCTATCCACTTAAAAAGCAATCAAAGGGCATGCGCTGACTGTTCCTAAGCCCCTTACTCTCCTCCTCTGGAAATTCGGGCTAACTAATTAGGTTGGGCCATCCATTATGGCCGGAAACCATGCAGCCTGGGCACAGGAACCAGAAGCCAAGTTGCCACCTTATTTTGTACCTTTGCAGAAGAGTCTTGGCCAGATTACCGGGAGATAGCAAATGGGAGTTATCTGAAAAGTAAGAGAAGCCATTGCATTGTATGTGGCATTCAATGGAAAGGAAAAGACGGTATGTGTGTGTGTGCGTGCGTGTGTGTGTGTGTGTGTGTGTGTGTGTGTGTGTACACACACACATATATATATATCCTGATTGTTTTCTCTGAAAGGGGAAACCACACTGGCGGAAGAGGAACATTGAAGGCAAACAGTACCTTAGCAATATGGGGACACGGAGCACCTACCTGCTGCCCAGCATGGCGACCTTTGTCACTTCCAGCAAGCCAGATCTGCAGGTCACCATCAAAGAAGAGAGCTGTCCAATGCCTTACAACAGCTCCTGGCCCCCGTTTACAGACCTCTCTCTCCCTGCCCCAGTGACCCCCACACCCAGCAGCAGCCGGCCGGACAGGGAGGCCCGGGCCAGCGTCATCAAGAAGACCTCTGATATCACCCAGGCCCGTGTCAAGAGCTGTTAAGCCTTTGACTCTCTCTGGTGGTTGTTGGGGTTTCGTAGCTTTGTGTTGTTATTTGTTTGTATTTTATTTTTTCTCTCTGATACCTATCTTAGACAAATCTAAGGGAAAAAGCCTTGTCAATAGATTATTGATTGCTGTGTCCAACTCCAGGGCTGGGGCTTCTTTTTAAACTCAGGACTCCAGCCCCTTGGTAGATGCGTATCTCTAGAACCTGCTGGATCTCCCAAGGCTACTCCCTCAAGTTCATGGACCAACAGCCACACGGGCAGTGGAGGTGCTGCATTGCCTACGGTCAAGGCCAGCATGGTGGAGTGGATGCCTCAGAACGGACGAGAAAATGTGAACTAGCTGGAATTTTTTATTCTTGTGAATATGTACATAGGGCAGTACTAGCCATGTTGCAGTCTGCTTCTGCACCTTATCTTGAAGCACTTACAATAGGCCTTCTTGTGATCTTGCTCTTCTTCACAGCACACTCGGAGTCCCCTCTGTGCCCACTACCCCACGACCCACCCACCCCTCACCAGCCCATCCAATCCCAGCCCACTAACCAACCCCCAACCCATCCAATCCCAGCCCACTAACCAACCCCCCCAAAACCATCCAATCCCAGCCCACTAACC